GTCTCCAGCGAGGAGCGCTCGGCGCCGCCGCCGCCGCCTCGGAGCGCGCAAGCAGGAGAGCGCTGGAGGGGAGACGCGGCCGAGACCCGGGAGTTCTGCGGCTTCCTTCCTTCCCCGCGGCCCGGCTCTCCTCTCCGCGCCCCGCCAGTCCCCCCAAACACACACCCAACACACACAGACACACACACACACCAAAAAAAAGTGCCCCGGACCTGCGGATACCACACACAGACAGGCGAGGGGGACGAGCACGAGGTCTGAACTGCCGCGAGAGCAGTTCCAAATAGGGACTGAAAAGTAACAAAATAATGTGGCAGCTTCGCCCGGCGCTGGCCAATGGGAGCGCACGGCCCCCACGTGGGGCTGCCGGACTCGGCCCGCGACTGGGCGCCGCCGGGCGCGACGTCACAATGCCCTCTTGTGTCTAAAACTATGCATGAAAAGTAGCAATCAGGCCCTACCCGCTGGTGACTTTCGCATGGGAGTGAAAAACAGCGCTCCTCAGATCAGGAATTAACCGAAAGACATATAATAAATAGATATATATTATATTCCTGGGTTGCTAGGGTGTTTTCCCCCTCCTGTCCTTTTCTTTCCCACGATCTACAGGCAAATAATTATTTGGCAGGAGGGGTAAAGGGGGAAGATAGAGGAATAACAAAAGAAAAAAGACAAGCTGTACAGTCCTCAAAACCTGTGGCTGGTAGTAACGTATCAGTTTATTCTGCGGTAGCGGCGAACGATGCCTCCCTCTAACCTCATTAGGTCTGCAAAGCAGCCCAATTAGATACTATAAAACAAACAGAGTCACTTTGTCACTTTAATGTTTTCACTTCACAAGATTTAGGACCGATAAAATGGTGGCTCCCGAAGTTGCCTCCCACCTTAAGAAATCTGCTCGGAACTGATGGTGCCCCTTTCTGTACCCCTTCTCCTCCCCCCAACCGCCATGGCCCCCGGCTCTTCTTTGTTCCTTCGTCTTCTTTTCGGAAAGCCAAATAAGCAGCGTCTTTGATGTGCGGCGGCTGCCCGCGAGGAGAAGTCCGAGGAACTCCTGCTCGGCCCGCAGCGGCCACCCGTCCCAGCCCGCGCTGTCCCCATTCGGGGCTCCTTCGCGGTAGAGGTGGCTACGCCCTCGCCTCAGC